TGACTTCGCTGAATTCATGGCCTGACTTTGACCTGCCCTCGGTCAATGACATTACAGGGTACGTCCAATTTTTTAATACCACACGATTCTCTACTCATTTGAATACAGTTGAGGCAAATTTGGCGCGGCTGCGTCGCGCCGTTTGGAAACCATTTCGGAAAAAACCCTCGGGGGTTCAATTTGATTTTGAAAAGGTTTTTCGGAATGGTTTCCAAAAAAACCTGGCGCAGTCACGCCAACATTTGTTTAAGTGTAGATACTTGAATAGCAGATCGTGTGGCAACAACATTTAGATGCACCTTGTAAGGTCGCTGACCTACTGTCCGGCAAAAAATTTCTCTGGAATCGTTCAATCTGATGCAAGGACGAAGTGCCAGACGAAGCCGTACATCCCAAGATAGTTTCTTAGGCAAGGCAACAATGTAATTAGCGAAGTCCATTGACCCAGGGTCAGGTACAAAGGTCGGACCAAGGTCAAACCCAACCTGTGTTATTACTCCAGAACTTGCTGTATGAACTAGTTTCTGGTGCTCATTTCGAGTCTGTAGATAACAGGAACCGCATTATACATCTTCACGCACTTCTTTAATGTCAGAATAGGTCACCGACCTACAATGACCCAGTCAAAAATCTTGTGGTTAGTAACATACTTCCTAGCGTAAACTGTAACACTTATTTAAATACAAAACTCCGAGGAGTCTTGTATGATTTTGGTCACCATGACCTGCAGAAGGTCAAATAAGATCACTGACCTTAAATAAGCACCACTGACCTCTTACTTGCGCAGGTATCAAGTTTCCGGGGGCATTTCGGACACCAACCTTGAGTTTGACTTTGTTTGAACCGAAGGTCATAACCTAGGAATCCCAAATTTTTATACGGCTGAGTTTACATACAGGCCAATACAACCCGTAAATTTAATGCTTCTAGCTTGATTAGTTGCTGAGATTTCGTGGGAAATCAAATTTGTGCAGTGCAAACAAAAGTGTAGAACGATGATATATCATTCCTCACGAGCTAGCTGTACAGGTTAATTTCTCGCCGTAAATATATACTAAATCATGCGTGTGTGGACGACCTTCTCCGTCATTTTTTTTTCAAGGAGAAGCAAAAGTGCTATGCACAAGCAATTTCAATTTGTATTCAGACCAGAGCCAAGTTGTGCTTCCCAACACTTATGCCGCCTTTCGGTATGCTTGAAGTTAAAAGGATAATTCCTGATGCAACCATGAGAGTGCATTTTGAACAATGAAGATGAGTCAGAACCTCTGTAAATACGCATGGCTTCTGCGTTCTTCAGGAAAACGAGCAGCGAGCTGACCGTCTCCAGGGGCTCTCATTTGAAGCGGTTCATCCTCTACACGCTGTACGTGTGCGCTGCCAGCGCGACGCTGGTGACGGTCGCTGTGCTGGCTGACGGGTCACACAGCGTGCCGTACAGCCTCTGGGCTCGCTTCGGCCGAGAGATCTGCTGGCTGAACAACCGCGGAGCGGTCCTGGCTTTCGTCTTCGCACCAGTGTTTCTCGTCATGACGACGAACGTGGTGCTGTTCGTCGCCAGCGCCTGCATGATCTCTCAGATGTCGTCTTCAACGGCTCGTCCGGCCAGCAGGCAGCCACAGGTCAGTGCTGAAACCTCGGGCATCAAACCGCACGCATGCTCTATGAATGACTGGTGCTCACCGGGAGGCCTCAGCGCAGCCACTTTGGTGGAAGCACACGACTCCCGGTGATCAGGAGCAAGGCCGTAGGCCTAGTGTATGGGAATTGCGAGAAAATGAACAAAGTCTGAATGCCACCGGCCGACACGCTTGCAATGCAAAGCAGTGTCGCTCATGAAGGTGTCACGCTAGGACGATGGAATTTTTGGGATCCGGCCTGGTCCGGTCCGGCCAGTTCAGATCCAATGCACCTACCAATCCGCCTTTTCAGATTTCTCAACCCAATCCGACCGGGTCTGGCTTACTACAAAAGTTGGCCAAATCAATGCTGGTTAATACGCTCCTATCTAAGACTTAGGGTATTAGTTTATCCGTCTTGAATTTACACCAACCAGCTGCTTTGATGCTGTTAACAAAGCTTGTCTGCTGTTGGTATAATTTGTACGATCACCAAAGCCAATGGTGTTATTAATGGTATCCGAATTGCTTGGGCCAATCTTTCACATATGTAACCACATCGAAGGGTACAACATCGCTGATGGTTGAAATGAGTTCATGGCATGTACACGATTGTATAGTTACTCATGATACTTGGAAAGCTTCAGCAGCACTCAGTTCACAAGCACAAGGCGGCATCCACTTCCGAATAAATCGTCCATCTCACCTGGTATATACTTCATGTGTGTTTCCGCTGTCGAGCACACCAACTAAGAAACAACCTCAGCTGAGACCATATCCTGTTATATTACCGGTCGCGACAAACTGATTATCTACGTGCGCGACTGCCTACTGGTAGGTAGGTGTCTGCTTTTCAAACCCCCCCCCCCCCAAAAAAAAATGAGACAGTTGCCATTCTTCGTGGTGCTACCGGATCTCCCTGCTTTGCTCACACTGGATATGCATGAGTTATTTTTATCTGTAATCGTGCATCGCACAGCTGCGTAAATCGACGTGTGCAAAGTTCAAAATCAAGTTATTTTGAACTATGTACTTCCTTTCTGCCACGTGTATCAAGCAAAATAATGCCGCCCATTACCATCATGTCATGACCGTTAAGGCATTTGATACACATATAAGCCACTTCCCAAAGGCCCCGGTCATCACACAAGCTACTCCAAATCTTCGCAAATTTTCTTTTCAGGTACGAATGGACCGTTTGGTTGGCGTGATCCCCCACGTTCATTCTGCTGTTTGTATATGTTGCGTGTCTTTGGCCCTTATAAATCATTACCAGAGATTAACAAGCATATAACTGCACTGTTGATGTCTAATTTGTACGTGGACTATGCAATTCGGAGCAGAAAAGACAGGATCACTGTGTTCCTGCGTACAGTCTAGACTTTTGTTAGATACAAACGGCACCATCTCACATCAAGCAGCTTACTGCTGGGGTATAAAGTAACCTTTGATCAGACGCATGCCTGGATGCCAAACAACGTCCAAGGCTCAGGAAACCCTCTAGCAAAAGTTTGAAAAAGATCCCAGGTCTTGCAAGACCACTCAACAAAATTCTCAAAAAATCAAAGATCCTAGAAGATCAGACAAACTTTTAAAAAGGACCCTGGACCTCAGAACACCCTTCGACACCAAATGTCATCGCAAGTTTTAGGTCAAACAAATTGCCACATCCTCGCACAACACTTGCTCAATTTATGCATCATGGACAGGGAATACTGGCTGACAGCTGTGCCAATAGCTGTACCAACGTTCAGAGCCAGACCCACTGCTGAAATGTCCGTCAACTGTCCCCTTCTATCCCGATCCCGGACTTCTATCGCTGTCGACTTTTACTCCTTTCCAACTTTCTGTGATTCGATTTTATGCCTGCGAGTTATTTTATGACTGACTTTTACCGCTCAGGGTTTTTGCTCCCTTTTGCTTCATTATTCGACTACTGTGCATCCTTGCTGAAGTTATTACCTGGGAGCTTTTGGTCCCACTTGACCATTTCCGTTTGACTTTCCTACTCAACGCTGTTTGCGTTGGGAGCTGGCCATCCGCCTTGCTCCACTCCAGTCACATTCCAAACGGACCCTGTCAATGGCTATCAGACTGCCCTGCGCTTGGGCGGTAGCGCCGTCATGTTGCGGGCCATCCATATGCGACCAGTGTAATTCGTTGCCTGGATGGGTTCGTGAGAGCGCCGATTTCCCTTTTTGAGCGTTGAAAGACCGGCGGCAGAGTCTGATCGAGTCTAGATCTGCATATCAGCGGGGATATAACAGAGTAGTGCATTACGCACATTTTTCCAGGCTGCAAGTTGTTGACCCGTGCGTTTTGAACCTGGTCTGGTGGAGTGAGAAGGATTATGTCTCTTGTAAGAGTCGACGGGCTTTCCTGCCCATATGAAGAACAACGTTTCTGTCAGCGAAAGAAAGAAATAACTCCATTTGGAACTTAACACTACGCGACGTGTTGGACAACCGATCGTGAACCTAATAAACTGTTGACGGCGCGAAATTGTCCACGTTCATATCGTCCACGCTTGTCCATGTAAGCCCGACAGGATCGAATAGCCGGTATGGGTCATCGTATTCTTTTGGCCTAGCTGCCTGTGCTTTGTGCAGCCCGAAGCGTAGAATTGTGTGTCGTAGGTTTGGATGTGAGAGCGCATATGGTCGATTGCTTTTATTAATTTTTTTTAGTGCTAGTGACTGCACTGATCACAGCATTTTACGGACTCACCTATTTTTTTTGTAAGTGATGTTTTGCTTAACCTTGTTTAACGTTTTTCAGTCGTGATGACAGCTGATGATGGCACAGCTTGCGAAATCGGGCACTGCCATGATCAATATTTGCTTTATAACGTCGGCTAACAGTATCCCCTGGTGCAATGAAAGTCGATAACTCGGCACAATAACTCAGATCTCTCACTAAATTGCTTGGAACAAACTGGGTCGACTGCGAAATTCAATCGCAACTAACTAAAGTTAATAAGTTTAGTCGCAATAAGTTGGCGAGTTCCCTTCTTTGAGTCAGTTCGTAGCAAATCATATAGCAGACATAAAACACCTTGACTGCAGACTCACACAAGCGCAAAGATACTACATGGGCCAAAATAAGATCACTATATTTCGGATGGCAATCCGTCGCCGGGTGATTAACAACGAATCATTAGACCCATCAAATACTCCATAAATGGCGGACGTAAAATAAATTAAATATTTAATATTTCCGAATTTACTGAAACAAGTTCTTCACTGAAGGGCGGATCGTACATTTACTGTCGACACTATAAGAAATATTCGAAAACGTACAGCATGATATAACTGAACATTCGTGGACATACACCAAAACAACAACTATACACTGCATAAAACCACCGAACAGGTTTTGTTTCGATATTTTCCTAATGCCAGGCCAGTTTTTAGCTCAAAAAGGGACAGCTAGCAGCGCTTCTGTTCATGACGGGTTTAATGTCGCGAATTAACTTGGGTTCTGTAGTATTTGCTCGACATGGACGTAACACCTACCAGTTTCCCACAAATGGAACTTAAAGAGAAGTTAAAGATATGGAGGCAAGTATCAGATGTGGTGAAATAAGCTCACCTATAACTATTAGCATACCTGAATGTAGAAAATACTGCTCTAGGCAACACAAATTCTCTCTGTAGTATCTGTAGTAAATACACTCCCCAATAGGTCTTAGCTTCATTGCGTCACCGAACGTTTGTATGACAGCACTCATTTGCAGTACTGAAATCTCCCGAGAGGTAGCTGCGGCGGTGCTGGGCATGTGCTGAACAAAGTTGGTTAGGTGCTTGTGTTTTGGCCCTTTCTCGTGGTTTTCTATGTAAGGTATTTACTTGTACTCACATACCGGGTATTACGCTATCATGCGTGTAATATATATACATATACATATATATATATATATATATATATATATATATATATATATATATATATATATATATATATATATATATATATATGTGTGTATCAGTTGTCGAACACAAGCCTTGTCTTGAGAGCAGAGACGCAATTTTCCCCCAAAATATCAGCCCGCAGTCCAGTCCGCCCCGCCTATGCTCTGTTTATCGTAAGAAAGCACTTAATTAAAGCTGGTCAATCAATTCGTCACGAGCATCACGCTGAAATTTTTTCAAACTCAACAAAATTGGTCGGAAGGCCTGGAGGACAGCACTGCGGATCTCTCGAAGCAATAGCAGTTTTGGATGTTTGCATTGCTTGCAGCAACTTCATGTCCATATGGTTGGTCGAAACATATACATATACATTTTTGGCGCTCGAGTTATTTTCGTTGGGAATTATTTTTACGTTCCAAATTCATTGCCTACCTTTGAAGCAAATTATGCTACACCTTCGTTCGGTAATTGCTCCAAACTGGTGTTGTTTCGTGAATAACATGGGAAAATCCCAAACACAGAAAACTAATTCGCTCAGTTTTATTGAAGGTATTCAACAAAACGCTGAACATTTAGCTGCAGATATATGTACAATACATCGAGCTCAAACACCCCACACGAAACTACATGCCACATCCACGTAAACGCTACGAAGTCAGTTGAAAAGAACGAAACGGAATCACTTCTCATGATCGATGTGTCATACTGTTCTCATGCATCGTTGTCGCTGCCGGAGTCGGTGCCGGAGTCGCTGCTATCATCGGTTGTTACAACAACCGGTGGGAGTTCTTCTAGCAGCCCGTCATTCGTCCAGTACTGCTGCTCCAGCCTTTTGACGTGCTCACAGCACTTACTCCAGTCCTCTGGAGGGACAGCTGCGACACCTGCCTCAGCCAGCCGTTCCACCTCCTCCATCCTCCCCGCCAAGTTCCCCCGTCTTATCACGCGCTTCATCTGTGCCCACACTAACTCTATCGGGTTCAAGTCGCAGTGATACGGCGGCAGGCGAACGATCCGATGACCATGATCTCTAGCAAGGTTGTCCAGAAAATATTCGTTCTTCCGGCTCTGGGATTTGACTAGTTCCAGCAGCTCCACCTCCCGCATGTCTTCGTCGATGGTCACACCTGCCTGCTGCAACCACTCCTGGATTTCCGCTCTACGCCAGCTAGAAGTTGGCACTTTTTGGCACAAACGGGAATGATATGAGGCATTATCTATGATGATCGCAGAGTGCTCTGGCATGTTCGGAAGCAGGCACTCGGTGAACCACTTCTCGTAGCAGTCGGCGTTCACCGACGTATGGTAGTCGGCGTTCCTGCCATCGGTCCTGAGGTGGAGAAGTGCGCCCGGTATAAATCCTTCTGAAGAGCCGGCATGGACTATGATAAAACGTTTTTCTTTTCCAATGGCGTTCTTCCGTCCGTTGATTTGACTACCGTCCATCCACGCCATGTCCTCCATATTGTACTGATTATACCACGTCTCGTCGGTATAAATGATTTTGCTATCGCGAACTCCTCCACACAGCTTCCTCATCTCCCGCAAGTACTGGCATCTCGTTGCTGCATTATGAGGCTTCTCGATCAGGATCTTGCGCTTGTTGATCCTTCGGTACTTAAATCCGTTCGCGAGTAGGTGTTTTCTTGCGGTGGATCTAGACATGGTGACGCCGAGGTGTCCGTGAAGAGCATCCGTGATGGTGTCCAGAGTAACATGTTTTCCGTCGATGTACATTTGGTGTACCATTCTCCTCATCGCGCAAACATCGAACGGATCTAGATCCACCCTTGGTCTTGCTGCAGCTGGCCGGGATCGGCTTGGCGACTTCAGTCTGACACCATTCTGGGCTTCACGTTGTATGCGATAGACTGTAGTCTTCCCAACGCCCGTCACAGCTGCTGTTATTAATAATAAACTCTCCCGGACGGCGTCGTCGTCTCCCGCCTGCAACTTCATGTCCCGGTCTTCGACAAAATGTTGATACACATTATAAACAACTTTCCTATTTTGTGCCCCAAGAATCCTTCGAGACGCTAGATTAGATTTTTCATTCATTGGTAAGTAGGTACTAAAACATATACAAGATATAAAAAGACAATGAAATATACAAGTGAAACAATATAAAAAGTTTTCACTGCGTAAAATATTACCGCAGCGCCAAAGTGATGCCGGTCATGATGCCGGTAATTTTTGGGTTCCAGCACAATCGAATAATGACCCACGCGCAAAAAACCGTGCAAAATCGTTGACAGCACTTTAATTCCGTTCTTTCTTACGATAAACAGAGCATAGCTGTTAGGTCAGTACGCAAAGGCCCGTCTAGCTAATGATTCGGCCCGCAAAAGCCTACTGTTATAATGCTGGTCCGCCGTTAACCTGCAAGATTAATTTATTGCAATATGCAGTATACCATCTCACCTTATTTTAGGCCTGTTCATGATATTGTGTATAAAATGGCATATTATTGTTATCTAATACACAAAATTGTTTTGCTAACACCAGTGATGTTTCTCACAGAGCAGCAAACAAATTACCTACACAATGGAATTTATCGTGTACCAAAGTAGATATTAACCATTGTGATAATAGTTTTAAACTGTAAATGGGAAGGAAAAACGTGACAATGAACTTTGCCTCTTACCAAAATAATCTAAACACTTCACTCTTTTACCTCACATGAATAAACCACAGACGATTTCTTCTAGAGTTGCACGCATCAACCGATATCTTTGCACTGACGGTAAAGTTTTCAGTTTTCCACAGTTTTTCATGCATTTCATTAATCATAAATCTTGATTGTGATTTGTGAGGTATGGTGTTGCATCCTGCGTAGTGAGGAACGCATTAGCTCCAACCAAGCTGTTGAAAGTTTTGTGGAAACGTGGTCCCTCGATCGAACCTTTCGTCAGTCTAGTCATCCGCGTGTGGCTGCTCAGCCCTGTCGAAGGCGTGGTTGAGTCCATGGGCAGCATCCTCAAGGAGGGTTTCTCCATGCACCGGCAGCTGAGGCATGACAATGCCGCGAAGGAGCTCAGGATTTGATGGAATGGTCCTGATCTTGATGGTGCCGAACATCTCATGAGAGCTGTTCAGAAGCATCACCGGTTTGACTTCGTGAGGCGGTCTGTCAACGTGAAGCACATGCTCACGGGAACGGTGATCGCCCGGCACAGAGCATCCCAATCATATCGTTCCTGTCTTTTCAAGCAGTTGGGAGAAAAGGAGCGTTGACATCATGAGTTGGCTCTTGGATCAAATTTTGCGTGCGCCGTTAACGTTCTGGAGCTCACAGTGAGTGCTGAAGTGCTTTAGGCAGGGTTCTCAGGCTTTCGTTGTGTGCTGAACTGTACGCGGCGTATTTGGCATTTTGTACTGACACCATGTTGACGCGATGTTGTACATATCCAAGGTGAATTCAGTGTAAATACAAAAAAATCCTCGCCAACTACGTGGTGTTGAAAGCGTTTTAGGAAAGCAGGCATCTGGTCAGGGATATGATAAGTCAAACTACGATGCTGTCGCGATCCGACCGAAGCTCAGTTGAGAAGTGTTGATCAATGCGATTTTGCGTTCATGGGCTTCATTAAAAAGTCAAGGAGACAAAATCTGGCTTCGCAGTCTGGAGGGAGAGAGTGTCTACGGTTTTTTACCCCTGCCGCCGACGGAACAGCCGGAGGAACGATAAACGGCATGCATTAGCAACGCCACCATGTCATCGCTGCTGTGCTGGCCCTGAAGGGGCACTGCCGACCCCGCGCAGCAATGGCCGCCAGCATCGCAACTTACCTAGTACACTGCCTGGTCCTACCTTTGGCCGCGCTGGGGACGGCTGGTTTCGGACGGCCACTGTCGCGATGGGTTCCATTCGTCAAAGACAGTAAAGCTATGCACTCTTTGCCACAGGCTGTATTGATATATATGTATATATATATATATATATATATATATATATATATATATATATATATATATATATATATATGTGTGTGTGTGTGTGTGTGTGTGTGTGTGTGTGTGGTGTGTGTGTGTGTGTGTGTGTGTGTGTGTGTGTGTGTGTGTGTGTGTGTGTGTGTGTGTGCGTGTGCGTGTGCGTGTGCGTGTGCGTGTGCGTGTGCGTGTGCGTGTGCGTGTGTGTGTGTGTGTGTGTGTGTAATATTCATCAGATCATTCGTACACAATGTTCTAATCGTGAGCCAGTGGCGGTATTCATTCTGTTTTCTGTCTCAATTCTGCTGAAAAAAGTTGGCGGCAGCGGGATTCAACCAAACGATTGAACATGACAATATGTGCACGGGTCTACGCTTTGCCTAATAGCGCGAAAAGGAGTGCCACCGCGCACCTATTTGATGCCAGAAATTGAAAGAAAATTGTTCAAGTTTCACTTGCATGCACCTTTCATTTTTACATGTGGTCGAGATTAAGATAGCCGCGGGCCTGAAAGGGAAATTTAATGTAAAGGTTAAATGAATGAGATGTGCGCCTTTGCTGTCATATTTTATACTAGGCTTTGGACCCTTCCCCGGGAATTCAAAGTCTAATTCATTTTTTCTACCATTTCATTTACCATTTCAGACGCACCTGGGCCTCTACTGCCGGCTGGCGGTGCTCATGGGGCTGACCTGGACCGTTGATATCACATCTCAAATAATGAAAACCGCAGAGCTGACCTACGTCACCAGCCTGCTACACGCCCTACGAGGAGTCTTTATCTTTTTCGGGTTCACCCTGAACCGAAGAGTCAAGGCATGGCTGCTGCATCTTATATCCGACGGCATTACCGCCGTCCGGACTACTATCTCCTCCATAAACTCACCCGAGGGTGGTGCCAATAGCCGGTAGATCCGGTAGAGCGGCTGGACACGGTGGAACTAGTGGACCCGATGGAGCTGGTGAAGAAGACAGCCTGTGGAACCGGTGGAGCTGACAGCCGGTTAAGTGGACGCCAGCGGCTGAACTTGGCAACCAGAGAATAGTTAGGTCTGGACGGCTCGCCAAGTACATTTTTCGTCATCTTGAACGCCGCGTAGCCTGTGTGTGTGTGGGCGGGGGGGGGGGGGGGCAGAATTTGAAAGACGTTGGTATGGCGTGCCGCACACCTGAATAACTGAAATATTCAGCATTTCTCCGGGGGCCTGTAGCAAAGAAACTAGAAGGCTCTGGGTCTGATGGGGTCAAATGCCTTGTTCATATAAAAAGCTCCGCTTTCCCCTTCCCAAAAATAGAACGCAAATCACCGAGCATGCCTCTTTTTAGCCATTTCACCCACGTATATTTTCACGGCGATCCTTTCATCATGCGAAGGACACCTTTTTCACACCTAATACGAATTTGTGATGTTATTAAATTTTTAACGCCCACGTACTCAATCCTGGCTGAATTATTTTTTCCCTACGGAGAATGCCATGCCAGCTTTTCGATGCGTATTTTTGTCTGCGACAAAGCTAAGTTATTTGCATTCATACTTTTCCAATAAACGTAGTGCACACTTTTAATTCAACTGCAAGATAGTTATATCATAATTAAAACGCATCTCGGGGGTTTTTAAAAAAAAGTGGAAAGCTGTGCGGCTGATGTACTTGACTCGATCTAAGATGAAAACGACGCCCTCGTCGCGTCGCAAGTTCGTTTAGAAATGCCTGTGTTCGAGTCTTGTCTGCATTTGACGGTGTGTACCTAACAGGCACGATGTAGCTGGCCGCCGCCGCGGCTGCTGACCGCTGGGTCATCCAACCACCCCGCGCTGGTTGCTTGGTCTGACCGAGCCAGTTTCGGCCGACCCGTGTCACGGGGCCGTACTGGCTGCGCGACGTGCAATTGTGTGATGTGTATGTAAACGTGATTGGGCTTTCTGTACAGCTTGCAGAATGATGAGTGTAATGAAGTGTTTAATTTAAAGGTAAAAATAAGGTTCCCAAGTAGGGTGTAACCGTTAGGATGTTATCATAATTGGGTTCAATGGGTTATGTAATAATTTAATATAATATGGGTAACATGGGTTAAATCAAATGGGTTCAATGCAATTCCATGGTTGTTGGATCTACAAGTTATGTGAATTTCGTAAACAGTGACGTACTCGCGGGCGCTTTAGAGGCTAGTTTGCTGGGGTAATGCATCTTTCCTCAAAGACACGGCCTCCTAAGAAAAATTGTGCAGTACACTCCAAGACCTTATTGTGTGCTGTAATATCTTGATTGACTTTTGCTATTTCAATATATAAGGTAAGCAAACCGGATCAATTCAGTAGACATTTTCGTTGCATGCTTAATATTTCAGCCGTGCCAAATCTGATACCTCTACAAAATCCATTGCTGTTGTCGTTGTCATGGTTACGGGCATGGGTTCACATAATCTTATGGCACCGCATAAGTTTGCGAAACAAAGTTTAAAGCGTAAATGTACTGTTCAAGCTGATTCACATCGCTAAAGATTTACTGCACAGAATCGTGTCGCGGTGCATCGTGCAACAAGAATACGGCGGACACCGCCTCATTAGTAGTTCTCAATGGCATCAAGACAAGTCGGGCAGTGCGGTATGAGGCTGCCGACACAAAGCGCCTGTTCAGCATTTTAAGCGCCGGGGTTTGTTCGAAGCATTTTATTGCATTAAGGTTCTAAACGCGATTTTAAGTTTCAAATGCTACATCTCGCGAAGGACCCTGCGAGCAAGCCTGACATGAACAACGCCAAAGGAAACACTTCCATGGGCGATGTCAACGCCTCCCCTGATAAGACGGTTGATGAGCTGAAGAATACTGTCGAGGCGCCCTCTCCCTCCCTACGGTTTTTGGAGGATATCTTTTCAGCCTGTTGCGCAATCGTGCCCAAGTTTCTGTGGCATTTGGGGCATCCATTACGCATGTTTGAACACAAAAATGTATCCGTAGCATTTGGCTTCTGAAGAGTGATCTTTTATGGCAATCTTCGACCGGCGCGAGCGGCGGGCGGCAACAAAGTCGACGTTGGCGGCGGCAGACACGTCACCTGTTACGGTAACAAGAGCCCTGCATTATACACATGTGCTCAAAACACACAAAACTAGATGTCATATGCTGGAAACGAACAGCTGAAACGTTTGTGTAGCTTTTCCCCTATCCGTGTATGTTATGAAAAAGGGGAGTCAGGGCGAGGGTTGAGCTCTGAATCGACGTTCAGACGTACGAATGGCGTACCCCGCTCACTCGTAAAGACGCCAAAAATGTTGGCAAGCGCCGGGCATTTCAAGTGCGGGTGATAATGCCAAATAACCGGGCTCATATGTCTATGGATGGACAAGATGTTTGCGAAATATGGGATCCAACCAATGCTTTTAGCACCAAAACTACGCCTGTCAAGCTGGCAGCACATCTGTTAGATTAGTTAGATTAGACCGTCGGTCGAAATTCCGTGCTGCCAATATTAAGGTAGATGTTGACAGGCTAATAAAACTCGGTCCATGCATCTGAACTTAAGAAAAGCTCAATTCGGCATACAGGACTTCATGAGATATATGCCCAAACTTAACGTTTCGAAAAGCTTGGGCACTGGCCTACGAGTGCACGCTTTGAACTCATCAAAATTCGTCCGCCCCCATTGGCCCTGAACCTCAACCTAAAATGTTTCGGGCAGTTATGGATGCCCAACTTACGCTTTCAGGTTTGGAAACGCGTAGGCTTCATATTATTAGCCTAGCAATTTTTAGCCAGATCGTGAGAGTCCTGAATATCGATGTACAACTTGATTCAAAACTGCTGCTAGTTAGACAGACGTCCCAAAATTTGGCTTTAGGCTGGGTCAGCCATGCCAGAGTGCCCAAGCTCTCGGCGCCCTGCCAGGCCACGCTTCTGATGGGGTATTTGTTGTTCATTGGTGTTTTCGGGCAATCAAAGTAAAATGCTACCAAACTGTTATTACAGATGAGAGATGCTGCCTTGGGTACCAAAATTTCGTTAGATAGGGTCGAAGTGCTTTAAAAGAAGCGCCGACAATAGTTAATTAACGTGCACCCATACCCACACGTGCACAATAGTTAATTAACATTAAATAGTTAATTAACGTTAATTAACATGACCGGCATTGGCCGATTCAGGCCGCCCGAAGTAGCTCCTCACTGTTCCACTGGTTGGATGGAGATGGCAGGCTGATCAGATTCCGCGTCCCTGACCGCTTCCTGGAGCCGGTGAGCGCGTTGCCGGGAGACCTGGTTCTGATGCGCAGAAGGCAGGTGACGCCTTCCCGACTACATCGTGCTATCCGTTGGCCTGGACGCAAAGGCTCCGGCGCATCTCCGCTTGTCTCGATGCGGATAGCATGACGCCTTGCTTGTCCACTGCTACGACCCTTTTGGTGTTATTGCTGCTTGTTCCTCCTCCTGCATTTTGTAAATGTATCATTATCTGGTATCGTGTTGCATATCTGTCTCGTGTTTCTATTTTACATGTGCTTTGCATCCGGTAAATCGCAACATATGCGCTGAAATTATTAGCTTGCT